ATATATATATATATATATATATATATATATATAAACCCATTGAGAAGTGAAGTTCTAAACGCACTTCTCATGATGATATTTACAAAATATTCTTACAAGATGACAGTTTGATGGATAAAAAATATTATGTGCATCTAAGGTGTATAAGAAATCTGACTTACATAATGATCTAGCAGTTAATGAAACCATCATGTCTCACCTACGGAACCATTAGATCTGACCCAATTAGTTTTATTGTAAGTAAATTCCTTATATTAAATTTGATTTAGATGGATAAAAAAATATAGATGGAACCATTGTGTATAGTCGGCATATATTTTTGTTAATTCAGACGAGAAACCACAGGCACATTAATTTTGTTGCTACATACTCAGCTATAGTGTAAATTTTCATTAGCCTAATCATTAATCAATATATAGCTCCCTGGAATTGCATACCACAAACCAGTGATCAACATATATACTTTATTAGTTGTTGTGCTTTAATTTATTTTTGTGCACAATATATAACAACCTAACCTAGATCTTCCGTTGAGGCCCTACACTCGTAGCAATTTTTCTATGTTTATTACAACATTGAAATTGTAAGGCACAATTTGATCACTGAATCTGCCAAAGAAGGATTTGGACATAGAGGGTTAGTCAGATTCAACTGAAGTGCAGTATGGTTGCACAGTGCACACTCCCTTTCAATTTGATCACAGTGCAGTAGGGATGTAAAAAATTGATCCAATCTAAACCGAATCATTTTATAAAATTAAACCGGTTAATTTATTTATTTTTAATAAAGTGAATCGGTTTGATATTTTTAAAATATAGATCGATTTTTTTAAATTGGATCGGTTTGGTACAGTGTAATTATCCACTTTTTACTCATATATAAATTGATTTTTTTTTAAAAATCAAATCGAACCGAACCGATCCACTTTGTAAAAATAGATCGGATAATTGAACTGGTTTTATAAAGTGGTTCGGTTTAATTTTTTTTTTAAAATAGATTAGATTTTTCAATACGGATCAGATCAGTTATAGCTCGATTCGGATCAATTTGAATTTTTTGCACACCCCTACACTATATATTTTAATCATTATATTTTATACCTACTTTCAAACTAATCACCTAAATATTGCTATAAGAAAAGTTATTTTAGAAACTAAAATTTTCGTCGCTTGATAGAAACCCATCAAGGAAACTGCATTGGAAGACCATGAGAGAATTAATAGATTAAGCATATTTTGTATTTAATTTGTTGTTAGCTATATCATATATTGGACTTTTATATTTTTTTTTTATAATTTTTATAATTTGAACTTTATCTTTTATAATGTTTTTAGTGGGCCCGATTGGGATAATAAATTTTAGATTATTTTATAAATAGGCTAAATGATAACATTGTAATTAGTTTAATTTGACTTATTTTAAAATAAAATTTTAAGTTTTGTGAAAGAAAGCTCTCTAAATTCTTAAGAATTATTTTTGATTTCTTTATTTTTAAAATTTTGTAATTTAAAATAACAAATCTTCTTTAACTTATCAATTCACAATTTGTTTTATTGTACAATCCACCTTTCCTTTTTAATTCTTATATTTAAAATTTACCAAAAAATATTTGTGTTCATATCATCACTAAATTGAGAAAATGGATCACTAAATCCGTTAATGACCGATTTATAGACTGATTATGCTATATCAAATATATTTTTCTTTCCGTTAGAAAACTAGAGTATTAATTGATTGGTTTCATGAATCGAGCAGAGTGTTTTTTATGCTGTCATATGCGTCACCTTTCATAAAAAGTTAAACATGAATTTAATTAGTTCCTATTTTCTTTGTTGCGATTATTACTTTTAATTCCTTAAAAAATTGATCAGTCATAGTTTATATAAGTTCTTTTCTTGTCCATGCATGGTTTTAGTCTTTACTTTCAAGCGTTTTTGGTGTAAATTAAGTGACAAGGTAAAAGCTTGAAGGAACAAGTAGGAAATTGTACTATATGTGTATGTTGAAAGTACTGAAAACAAAAGCAGCCCAATCCATAAATTCCTCGACATTTTAAGATGTCTATCTTATCAAAATATGGCATTAAACAAAGCGAATATAGACCTCTGCAGAACAGAATATTCGGGACAGAATAAGAAAGATATTTAGAGACGACAAGCAATTACATGCATCACATCCTATGTTCCTAACTTGCCACTTGGCACAATATGCATGCAAAATTGTGCATGTTTGCCACGTAACTTGGTGCTGGCTCCTGCTACTCACTCCATCTATTCCTCTCTCGATCTCTCCACTCTTCTTTCCTCACTCACACTCACCAACTTATAAGTGTCTTTTTTCTTATAGGTAATGCAGTTTTTCCACAAAAGAAGGAAGTGAAAACGTGAAAAGATAAGTTAAGAACATATATATACCAAAGTGAGTGAGAAAGAGAAGAAGCGTATCAAAATGGCTGTAGATCAGATAGAGAGGGAGTCATTGATAACTGAAGCTCGTAATGCACCTGTGACTGCACAGAGAAGGGTCAGAAATGACTTGGAAAATTCTCTGCCGAAGCCATGTAAGTCTCTGTCGTTTAAAACCTCTTTGGTTCCATTATCTCAAAACTAGAGGAAAGTTTTTAAGCTTAGTCACGAGAGATAAAGAAAGAAAACAGAAGGTCACACTATATGATCATACAAATTTTGTGCAAATTCTAAATATATATTCTGTCATATATTTTCTGTATTTGTTATATTCCTGTTATGCAAATTTCTGTATTTTCATGTGATCAGACATGCCTAGAGCATTGAGAGCTCCTGATACAAGCCACCCACATGGAACACCAGGCCACAAGCACCACAACATGACCATTCTTCAGCAGCATTGTGCTTTTTTTGATCAAGATGACAATGGAATCGTTTACCCTTGGGAAACTTACACGGGTAAGAGTTTTGATCTCCAACAGTGTCCTCATTCTAAATTTCTTTTAGCTTCCAAAGATATGACCCCTGACCTTGAGAGTTTTGCAGGGATGCGCGCCATTGGATTTAATGTTGTTGCATCTTTTATTATGGCTATTGTCATCAATGTTGCACTGAGCTATCCCACTCAGCCTGTGAGTCCTGGATTTTTCTTTTTTCCTTAAATAGTCACAACCAAAAGGTTCAGTTCTTGAACATATTGATAATAATATTTTGAGGCTTATATTTGAATTGTAATCGTATATACAGAGTTGGTTCCCTTCTCTCCTTTTTCCTATCTACATACACAACATACACAGATCAAAGCATGGGAGTGACTCAGGAGTTTATGACACAGAAGGACGGTTAGTGACGATGATGAATAATCATGTACTATTACAAAATTCTCTATCATGTAAGTATTCTTAAGACATTTGTCCTTAATTACAGTTATGTGCCAGCAAATATTGAGAACATGTTTAGCAAGTATGCTCAAACAGTTCCTGACAAGTTCACACTTGGGGAGATCTGGGACATGACAGAGGGAAACCGAAATGCGTTTGACCCATTTGGCTGGTGAATTTCTGATGACATCTCAACTTAATTACCTTTGATATTTATTTGCTCAATTATATTATGTTCCATATATTAACTGGAATAATGTTGATACATATGCATGCAGGGTTGCAGCTAAACTGGAATGGGGGGTCCTGTACATTCTGGCTAGGGATGAGGAAGGTTTCCTGTCTAAAGAAGCTGTTAGAAGATGCTTTGATGGGAGCTTATTTGAATACTGTGCTAAAATGCATGCTAGTAGCTATGACAAGATGGGTTGAATTGTCCTAATGTGTGTGTGTATAGTTTCCGTGAGGTGTTTATGTGAGACACTTTAGTGATGTGCAATGTAACAAAATAAAAATAAAACTTATTAGGACCCTGTCTTCTTTTGATCAGTATAAATAAAGAGTTTACTGTCTGGCATGCATTTTGTAATCTTATCCTTTTCTCACGTGTCATGTTTGTCAAAACAGTGGTTAGTTTCTACAGGGTTCAGATAATTATTGTGATCGAGATGTGAGAGGCATATACAAATGAAAATGAGCTCCTTATAGAAATATTTAAGGTGTTTGTTTTTAGATGACTTACTCTGCAGATTCCAGAGGTTTGGTGAGAACAATGTTATGTTTTTAATTTTTTATTACATATATTAAGACCGTGTTTGGATAGTTTTATCCTAATGAAAAGATGAAAGGTGTTTAGGTTTGATTGATATGTATAATTTATAATGAGATTAGTTTAAAGGTTTTCTGAAGTTTGATCAATAGTCGAAAGAATCTGTTTTTAATCCTTGCAAAATATTTAATAATAATAATAATAAATATGAGTAGAAAGCAATGTTAAAGCCAATCTTTTTCAAAAGCAAATCTTAGAATGAAAAAAAAAAACAAGAAGAAAAGAAAGGTAATACTATATATAGCACCAAAAGTAATGGCATCTTAATCACAAAAGAACAAAATCCCTTCACTCGCTCACATTTTCAGGTCTCATTGGTCTTTTCCTTAAAACCAAATATATTACTTAGTCTTAAAGGCATCTTCCTTGTATAACTTTTTTTTTCTCTCTTTGTTTCGTCTCTTAAATTTGTTTTATTTATAAGATATTAATTATTTTTATATCATTATATATTATATTGATTAACTACTACAATACACAAAAAAAAATAAAACGTAATTAGAATGAATTTATATTCAACTATGAGTTGTATGGGATATTTATTTGAAAAGTCATATTTTAAATGCTTAATTATATTTTTCATCGGTCCATTGTTAGAATTGTATTATTTTTATTTTTAAGGTCCAAATTAAATAATTTTAATTTATCAAATATTATAATGGTGTAATTTTAATTTCTTTAAGTATCATAATTATATAAATTCAATTAATCAACTATTATAATTATATAATTTTTGACTTATTTAAATTATATATATTATAATGTATTTAAATTATATATATTATTATGTCAATAATGTATTAAATAATATATATTTATTATTATTAAAATTTCTAAAATTATTACATGATTATGTAATATTATATTTAAAATTATATATATAAACGCTTTTAAATATATTATTCAAAAATATATATTTACATATTTTAAATATCATATTAAAACCAATCAAATGTAAAAAATTATTAAATATTTTAGAATTATGTAATATTTAATATACATAATTTTAAGTATTATATCACATAATTTAATGATTTAGATTGATTAAATTTATATTTTATAAAAAAATTAT